ACCCACAGATTGCAAATCAAGTGCCCTAACCACCTGGCAATGCCAGGCCAGTTTGTTAGGAAAAGGATTTATCATGTTTTATGCTGTAAACTTGTACTTTGCTATCATATAACGTGCTATTGAAAACCACTATAAACACATTTATAGAAAGTACAATAAAAGTTACTATGTAAATATCATGGCCTAAGGAGTATTTTTTACTTGTATATAATTATTTAAGTTTTCAATTACAATTTGTATGAGATATTTCAAAAACTTCAGGTTATAAGAAACATTCAAGTTAGGTAATGATTGCTGAAGATTAGCATATTGCTCACAATTCAATAGACAATAAAGCACACTTTATATGATATCCAAGAAATAGCCAGGAAAATGTTTGAATAAATTGTATGGTACCTAGTGGGTAAGCAATAAGTTTACAGACATGCACTGCTAGAATCTGGGGTTTGATTCTCTGTGGTAGACAAATTGCAGGTAGCCCATTGTGTTGCTTTGTGCTAAAACAACAAGTGTGAATTGCATGAACTCAGTAACTAAATTCCAAGATGATAAATGCATAGTATACATTTGTGTTCCATTTCTATTACTCAGTTCGTACAGTTTGTTTTTAAGAGTTCAAAATTAATTTGTGTGGTTTCAGATATCCATTGAAATGAGATTAATATTTACCCTGCATTGTGAAATTCAATAATCTCTGGATTGTGTTCAAAAAGTAGTATAAAACTGTAGTTGAAATTGGTATGTTGAAAGTTGTGAGAAGTTTTATGATTAGTTGTATATATATATTTATGTGAGTGTTCAGTTAATTTCAAACTATAAACACCATTTTAGTTGAGAATCAGTTGCCAAAACCAGGTCAGGTACATTTGATTGTTTTGTTATTCTAAAAGTAAGACTTTTATATGAAGTGTTAGAAATTAATAAATTATGCTAGAATTGAAAGTTCTGAAAAACGTAGTTTTATCAGTCGAAACACTGTATACAAAATTGATGAAAAAAGGAGAAAGGGTATAAACATGATTTGTTTGTTTCAAAATTTTTTTGCCAATCCTTTTTAATTCGATCTCTTTGAATCATGTAAATTTCTTTGATTGTTATACTTGTAGCTTTGAGCTTGAGCTCATTTTCTCCATAAATATAGAATTTCTCATTCATTTGTTGATCATTATGTGGTATAACGCAGTTTGCAAGTTTTCTTAAGTATTTATTTATAAATGTTTCTTTTTCACCTTCATTTCAACTAATTTTGTTTCTTGCCAAAGGAATATACGAAGAAATGCCAAAATGACTAAATTACAGTTCACCAAGTGGATTATACAGGGATTTTGGCATTCACTTGTTCTTTACTTTGGTACACATCTTTTTTGGATAAAGAATACTTCTTGTTTTTTGGATGGTCAGGTTGGTGTTTTTTGTTATCATTCTGTTTATTTTTTTAAACCATTTTGTTGTTAAATAATTAGCCTTATGCATTTCATTTTATACTGTTGCGTATCTGCTTATTTGTTAATTTCCTGGTATAAATTCTTTCCGAGAAACTTCAGCGATACAAG